AGCGGGCTTAAGCGATCGGATTAGATTAGCTCTCTCACTGCTAATCTAATCCGATCGCTTAGGCATGCCAGAGACAGCCACTGATCCGGATTCATCTAGGGAAATTTACCAAGTGATATCTGAGACAAGTTTCCTTGGTAGAGGATTTTCGCCTTAGAACATATATGATATGGAAGGGGAATAAGGAATTGAAATGTGTCCGGAGGAAGTGAGAAAGAAAATCGTAGTGGCCTCTCTCTTGTGAGCAACTACTCGAAAGTGCGCATGCGCGCCATTTCAATAGTTAAATGTATTATACACTCACACACACACCGATGCTTGTGTGACAGCAAATGGCGCGCATGCGCACTTTCGAGTAGTTGCTCACAAGAGAGAGGCTTATATAGTCAAAGAAAGAGGCCACTACGATTTTCTTTCTCACTTCCTCCGGACATATTTTTCTCTCGAAAACAGTAGGCATTCCCCTTCCATATCATACATGTTCTAAGATTTTCGCAGTACGGAGTACACCCCTCTTGTGTCCGTCCAGCAAATCTATGGACGAACATTGATCAGCTGTGTCGATTAGGGACGGAGATAGCAGGTGTATCAAGTGATATGGAGTTGGCGTCGATTGAAAACACAGGTGATGATAAGATCGTGATATAAAGAGTGCCATGGGTAATCGAACACCATTGACACAATATCTTTGGACTTAACGACGCAAGTGTCTCAAAGCGATGGGTTGAATGACGAAAAGTAAATATACGTAAATTGGAAATAAATAGAAATACGTGGACACGTGTGATACGACTAGGTTATATAATGTAATCGCAATTTATATCGTGTTCGTTTTGCACTAGACACGAAACGATTGTAGATATAAATGCCAATTGACTCAAGATGTATATGTAAATTTATGTGTATCACAATTAGACTAGTGTAATAATACTCACATTAATATAACCACTTAAATACGCTATGTAATTTATGAATAATACATATTCATGAAGTACATATAGATAGTATAAGAATATATAAATAATAAAGTAATATATGAGATAAAAGATAGATGTAGACTGAAGCAGCTGTTGATGAATGTTTATCTCGCTTGACGCAACAAGTTATTTATATAATAAATTGCCTGGTACAAGTGTGAAAACTAGGAGTGTCTCAGATATCAATGCTCACCGCCTTCCTCTTATTCTTTCAGATAGAGAACGCCTAATTCAATATGCAACATCCACGAGTACCATCGGTCGGAGATAAAGTACACTTAGAATTAGAACAATTGAATACGTTGCCTCTCGGATGTGTCTGTCGTTCCTAAAAGGTATACACCAACATGAGTAACGTTACGTCGGGAAAGATTCCGTTGCATACAGTCCTGAGACTCAACAATAACGATGTTAAGGAATTTATCTGTGGCTGGGGAGCTGCTGTCATCAATGTCACCATCACTTTCCCAATTAACAAAATTATATTCAGACAGGTATAATCAGTATCGATAAATTTCACCAACGACACTGCGATTCGAGTGCCAATGTGAACGTATTTTGTATCGCGATAGATTCTGGAAGGAATGCCCGTGAGTGCCGCAGTCGGACAGGTTTCACGAGAGGGGATACGCTTGCTGTATCGTGGAATCTTGCCGCCTCTGTGCCAAAAGACCCTCTCCCTCAGTCTGATGTTCAGCATGTACGAAGGGTGCAAGCACAGGCTCTGTCTGTTAACCGGCAACGTCGTGCTGGCTAAGATACTGGCGGCGAATATAGCCGGCACGATGGAAGCCATCCTCATGCCGCTCGAGAGAGTACAAACGCTGCTGCAGGACTGGCGGTATCACGACAGGTTCAAGAACACGCCCCACGCGTTCAGGTACCTCCTGACGAATCACGGTGTGGCCGAGTGCTATCGCGGCATGGTTCCCATCATATACAGAAACGGCTTGTCCAACCTGATGTTCTTCACGCTGCGGGATCAGTCCAAGGTGCTGCTGGGCGAGAAGGAGTCGTTGCTGACCAACTTCGTCAGCGGCGCCCTGATCGGCGGCTTCACCAGCACCGTGTTCTATCCGATGAACGTGATCAAGATACACATGCAGTCGAAGATAGGCGGGGACTTTGAGAAATTCGTGGCTGTGACTCGCGAGGTATATGTCTCCAGGGACCGAAGCTTAACTTCCTTTTACAAAGGCGTGCACCTCAACTACATGAGGTCCTTCATCAGTTGGGGTGTGATTAATGCGTCCTATGATTTCTTGAAGAATATTATTTTCTAGATTGTTTATTACGGGAAAAATTTGTGCTTTTACTTCTTGAGAGGATACACGTCCTGCTGTATACATTTTATAGGTGCTCTAGGAGATAATAGGAAATGGTTCCTTTTTTTTTTTAAAGAGATGTGAGTGTTGCAGTCGCACATTCTTCCTGCCAATGCGGGGACGCACACGGGAAGAAAGGTCTATGTGCATATGAGAATTTTACGTAGCGTTTTAAGGATTTATTTAGGGATAACATCAACTGACTGACTTGTTCTTTTTTTTTAATGAACAATCATGGATAAATGTTGAGGAGTACGTTATCAAATTTTTTTTCTCTTGATTTATGAAGAGGTATAATTTGTAGGTGTAGATAGGTGTAATTAAGATTTTTGTGAAGAGTCTTGATAATTTAATATTCAGTCTTTACAGATACATTTTGAAATTTTATGCGCTTAAAAGGCATGTGATTAATGAGGTAGAGAAAAGTATTAGGTGAATAAATTTGAATAGGCAATTTGTTTTTATTTATGGACAAGGTGCTACCACGATTTTAGCTATCTATGTGTATTCCATAAATTGTATATAAACAAATTATGCTGAAATGTCTTTGGAAGTGTTTTAAATTTCAGAACATTTAAAAGCAAAGCCTTGGGACTAATTAGCTCGTTTCATAATAAACAAGCGTGTATAATATCGTGTCACAAAATATTTCAATTACTTAAAGGATAGGCAAAAATATTTGCTATCATTGTAGACTATTTATACATATGTGATATTACATTATGTAAAAATATATCGGAGACTTCTCTTATGTAAAACAACGTGAAGAAGAGCAGGAAAGAGAAAAAAAATATATGTATATTTAGTACATTATTTACATAATAAATGAGTCAACGCTCGTCACATGTAAAAACAAATCTAAGAAAGTCAAAGGCTAAAATACGAGTAATAAAGGATATTAAATAAGTTGATTGTTCAACAGTAAAGGAAGCATTGTGGACTGCTTCAACTGTACTGTCTTTTCCAGCACAATAATTGCAAAACAACGAATATGAGAATCAAAAAGTAAATTACATAGTAACAAGAAGATTATTATAAGAAGATTCATACGCAAGCAGATTAACGCTCACATCTTGGCCTGTGGCTTTCTTAGATTTGTTTTTCCATTATTTAAATACTAGTTTTTTACATGGCATTAATTTTGTATCATATGTATAGCGACGATATTTTTTTATTTTATTTCGAAATAGAATCAAACGTGGAAGTTTGAGACATAGACAATTCAATCGACTGGGACATCGACTGAATGCGGTACATTATTAATTGGATCATTTAATAAATCAATTTTACACGAAACAGTTATCTGTTGGATGTTCATGTTCTGTACAAAACATATACAAATGTCAAATTAATGCTGAAGACAATATAAATTTGGTATCTGTTACAACGTTGTATTGTATTGCATGGGATGTCCTACAAGTCCAGTGTAGAGCGTATATCGATTTGGGAGCATCCATTCGACAATTTGGGAAAATCTCGCCGACTGGGTAAAACTGTATTCAAAGCAATGGTCAACACTTTGAGCGAATTGTGCGAGTAAGAGCTTCTGTTGACACTGGACTTGCGGAGACACTTTAGTTCACCAATATTCATGTATCTTTAAAAGTCCCGCCGCACGACATGCTGCTGCATGCTTTTGGTCCGGGCAAACTCGACGAGCGCCCGAGTCGGTCCCAGAGGGCACTTATTGTTAGAATTAGGATGGCATTCGTAGATGAATTTTATGTGTGAAATTATATTAAAGATCAATACAGTTTTGAGACGCTACCCGGATAGCATTCGTGTCTAACAGACATCTCTAAGGCGGCGTTAAGTTGTCTGTTAGACATTCATGTCTAAAAGGTGTCCTAAAGATAGACATGCATTGCTGTCTGGAATATCCAATGGTGGATACAATTTTAATGTAGAACCAGACTTATATAATGTCCCTCGGTCGTCGCGTGAGATTGTTAAAAATATTCTCCCCAAAATAAGGTATTTCCCTACACTCTACGCGAACCCAAAAACTTAATTAGACAAAGGAACGCTCGAGTTCTCGACGTAAAATGTATATCTTACGATTTTCTAAATTGGAGTCTCAAGAGTCCCGCCCAGCGAGAAACTACGTCGAATCGATATCGACACAGTCAAATTCGACGTCGGATTCGACATTCAATCTTACGGCGTCGATGTCGATTCGACCTCAATCGACGAGTCGCCTCAATCACCTCTCGCTGGGTATAGTTCGACTGTGTGTTACGAAAAATAGCGCGACGGCCGAAGGGCCGAGATTAAAATTCATTCTCAAATTAAAAGGACGGTTTCTGAATAATCCTCAATCTCTTTTCCCGCGTCCCAAAGTGACTCGGAAACGGCTCTGGCTCCGATTAACTCGATCGACTCGATTGATTCGAACTGGCAGAATCGCCCGTGGCAAAATTTTCTAATTATAAATCACTGCCCTGATCTATTCTTTGAACGAACGTCGCGACGACCCTATCCACTTTAATGCAATAGTACAGATATTACTCGAGAAGTCGATCACCGCGCTCGGTCGAAAATCCCATCGCCCTTGCGAATCCAATTTCTCTCGAAAACCGGGGGCGCCGTTTCCCGCGCACCCCGAAGGCACGTCGAACGGGCCCGAGCGTTCCGTTCACAGACGGACGTGCATACACGGTGGAAACGTGTTGGTAATTAAAAACCGAGTTATCTCGCGAAACTTAATTGTCCCGAAATATCCTTCCGGCGCGCGCGGTCGCGATTCCGAGGGGATGACCGGCGTGGACGGTCGGATTGTCCGGCGCGGAGGGGGGGGGGGGAGGGACCGGCGCGGCGAACCCCTCTCGCGTGATCCGCGCCTGAGCGAGCGCCGCTTATGCGCGGTGCCCCGTGGAAATCGATGCGCGCCGCGGCTTTCAGCTTCTCAACCAGCCACTGGCCAGCCAGCCAGGACAGTCCGCGCGATCGTCGCGATACGTGGTGTGCGCTGCTCGGCCTCGCGTCCGTGCGCGTCTGTGCTCGTTTCCTGGAGACGTCCTGTCGCGTCGCGTCGCGTCGCGTCGTTTCGTCCGCATCAGACCAGCTGACCGCGTCAGGTAGGACTCGCGAAACGTCGGGAGGGCCGAGCCGACGGAAGGTCTCTCGCCCTGTCCTGCACCGGGGGAAGGGAGGAGGGGGGGGGGCAATTAACTCCGCTCGCGTTGTCGTCGTCGTCGTGGAGGTGACAAATCGCTCGCGCAGAGTCGAGGGATTGAAACCGGCGGCGTTTCCGGGTGAGCTCCGTGCGGTACGGGCAGACGCGAGGAGCGCGACCGCGACCGCGAGCACCGGCGGGCTTTCCCGAGGAAGGACGTGTCGAGGTGGAGGAGGCCCCGAGAGGCGGAGACGTCGCACCCGGGTCGGTTCCCGGCGGCTGTCGACGCGGGCGAACCGCGGGCCCCCCGGGGGGGGAGGTTCTCTTTAACCTCGAGGGGGACGATCGTCGCGGGGCCCCGAGAACGCGCCGGTGTCAATCCCTCTCCGGCGGCGGAGGCGTCTAACTCGGCGCGGTTGTCTCTCGTGCAGGCAGGAGAGCGTGCGATGAAGGCTCGCCGCCGTCGCCGCCGCTAGGAAGTCGCGGCGCGGCGCGGCGCCCGCCGATGCCGCCAGCGGTGGTCACCGCGAGCCCCGTCGCCGAGGCCGGCAGCAGCGGGAGGGAATCCTCCGGGGGACACGCCAGGGTGCCGTCATCTCACTGATCGCGCGCGAGAATAATGAGAATCAACGCGACGAAGATGAGCACTCCGATCGAGGAGAAGATTGATCAGAAGCTGAAGGTACGGCGGGGGGGCTTATGCCCTCCTCCCCGAGGGGGTCGGAAATCGCCGGGATTAAGCCGCGATATCCTTCCCCGTCCCTCCGTCCCGCCCCGCTTCTCCCCGTCGATCTTCCCTGATCAATAATGCATCCTCGACTTCGTACTCGCACTTGGCCGCATGCTTGGGATGCGGCACGCGTGCATAAATCCCGGTCGGGGAAGCCGCCGCTCGCTATGCGGCGCAGATGCGCGCCGGATATTCCCGGAGACGCTCTCCCCCTCCGGGCTTGTTCGGCGTATCGGACACCTCGGGCGAAAATGAATCGCGGGCCGCCTCGGTGTTAACTTTCCGACCGCTCCCGCGGGAGATCGGCTTCCGAGATCCCTCGATCGATAGCGCTCGCGTCCGGCCTCAACCGCCGGACGCGAGCGCCGGCCGATTTCTATTTTCGCCCGCTCGTTCCCTCGGGATCTAGGGCTGCGTTCGGAAACGTCATTTTGTCCTTGTTTAATGGGCGAGTAACAAGGATAAGATGATACACCGCGGCACTCGGGTGGCGTTGCCGAACGCAGCCTGACTCGACGTCGTTATCTCTTTGATGTTCAGTTTTACGTACATAAACAGATGTTGAGATTTTAGCGTAGGGCTCTCGATGTTGAAACTCGGTAACGAGGAAAGGCATCGAGAGTCGGAAAGAAGTGCTTTTCGTGCCTGTCGAGGTATAATAGTTAATTAAATTACATTGTCCTACGTTTCGGATGAACAAATATAGAGATTTCGGTGCAGGACTCTCGATGTTGAAACTCAGTAAGGAGAAAAGACGTCGAGGGTCAGACAAAAACGGATCTTGGTGCCCGTTGAGGTTTGATAATTAATTAAATTACATTATTCTACGTTTCGAATGAACAAATGTAGAGATTTCAGTGCAGGACTCTCGATGTTGAAACTCGATTAGTAAGGAGAAAAGACGTCGCGGGTCAGAAAGAAGTGGATTTTGGTGCCCGTTGAGGTTTAATAGTTAATTAAATTACGTCGCACTTTTACGCTTGCAACTATCTGGAGCGTCGCCAAAAACTTTCATATGTATATTTCTCTAACATGATAGGACAATTGGCGACGCAGCTGTTGATCTTTATTATCCTCACGTTACGTTCGAGTCCGATGGGATCTGGCAGCAGCGGAAGTGCCAACACGGTTTTATTTCGCTCTCTTCCGCCCCTCCCGGGTTTTGCGTTCTCGGTCTCGTTTATCCGCGTTTTCATTCAGCGCTGCTGCACGTAACGCAGCCGGCATTTCACCGCCGGACGCGCGGACACGCGCGAGCGGGGCCCGGGTGGTTTTTTGCATACGATAAAAGCGGACGAAAGGTCAAAAGAGCTGCGCGCACGCGAGCGCGGTGCAATTTAGCCGGGGTCGCGTCGCGCGTAATTCGCGACGGTCTCATTACCGCCGGCCGTCCTTTCCCCTTCCCCCCGCCCGCCGCTCGCGGATACACGCGTACACGCTGATGAGGCAATACCGTCGGAATTTCCCATAGTTAGGGGGACGCGTTTACAATTAAATCCGTTCAGCCGTTCACACGGAGATAATTTCAACTGCCGAGGACCAGGGGCTCGTTGCTTCAATGTATTCGAAGGAGAAACGTATGCAAAAATTCTGCTCTAAAGGCCTGTGTCCACGATACTCGAACTTGATCCAAGTTCTAGTTCTGAAGGCCTGTGTCCACGATGCTAGGACTTGGTCCAAATTCTAGTTTCGAGAAATGTGTAGCCAATCAACCTGCAGCTATTCCATAAGAGCTGCAAGTTGATTGACTACACATTTCTCGAAACTAGAACTTGGACCAAGTTCGTGGACTAGCATCGTGGACACAGGCCTTTAAAGCTTTGTGTCCACGATCCAAGAACTAGTTCTAGTTACGATAAATGAGTAGCTAATCAACTTGCAGCTTTTCCGTAAAAGATGCAGGTTGATTGGCTACACATTTCTCGGAACTAGAACTTGGACCAAATTTTAGCATCGTGGACACAAGCCTTTAAGCTTTGTGTCCACGATCCAAGAACTGTATCCAAATTTTAGTTTCGAGAAATGTGGGGCCAATCAACTTGCATCTTTTACAGAAAAGATTCTAGCATCGTGGGTTCTTAAGGCCTGTGTCCACGATGCTAGAACTTGGTCCAAGTTCTAGTTCCGAGAAATGTGTAGCCAATCAACTTGCAGCTATTCGATAAATGCACATTTCTCGAAACTAAAACTCGGACCAAGTTCTAGCACCGTAAACCCAGACCTTTAGATCGTGGGGCCAAGGCTCAACGCAGAAAAGTTGCAAGTTGATTGGCTGTTTGCATGGTTTTGACCAATCGTCTTTCAACTTTTCTACGAGAGCGCAATTTTCGCTAACGTTTCTCTTTCGAATAAATTCGAGAATCGGGCGCTAGCGTCGATTCGCGCGGCTCCAGAAAGACGAGAAATGAAATTTTAGAAAATAAACCCTCGTTCATCACGCGGGCGGACTGTTATCTCACTTTGTACGTAAAACGTCTCCCGTGATTCGAGGTGCAAGTGCTGGGCGGATGGATTTTAACGTTTCACCATGTTTTTAGAAGTTAATCGGATAACAGAGCGCGGAGTGGAGCGCAGCGCGAGAGTCTCGGACTTGGAATTTTGCGGACCGCCGCTCGTTGTCACTCGACGCACGTACGTCCCGAAAATCCCGGCGCTACAGGTGCGGGAGATGTTTTCCGATCGCGCGAACATTAGCGTCGTTGATCCCCGGTGAACGATCGACGGCTCGATTCCGCGTCGGTTCCGTCGGTTTCTCTCGCGGCATCAGTCGTGGTTTTGCCAATTTCCTACGGAATCGTAGCGACTACTAGGCACAGGTATATAGGTTCGACGCTGACCGATTTGGCGGAATCGATCCGCGGGCCGTTCCCGTAAAGCTTATTCTACAACGGACGCAAGACGCTAAGTCGCAACGCAAGAAATCGACCAATCAGAAAGGCTCAAACGCACGAAAGAACTCTAACAGTAAAACTTAAGACTCGAGATTTTCGACCAATCGGAATTGTCAGCATTGCTTAACCTTCAAAATGGCTGCTTACGTTCTCGACAGTCATTGGTCATTTCCCTTAAGTCTTAAGTTTTACACTGAAAAAAATTTCTGGTTGAATATGGACGAATCAGATAATTCCTTTAGGATTTACCAGAATTCCTTTAGGATTTACCAGAATTCCTGTAATCCTACAGAAATTCTGGTAAATTCTGTAGGATTACAGGAATTCTGGTAAATCCTAAAGGAATTCTGGTAAATCCTAAAGGAATTATCTGATTCGTCCATATTCAACCAGAAATTTTTTTCAGTGTACCGCTCAAGTTTTTTTTCGTGTATTTGGGCCTAAATATGAGAAGAATGATCGACTGTCATTTTGGCCGATCTCTTGCGTTGCGGTTTAGCGTCTTGCATTTTGCGGGCCGTCGCGCACTTTCCGTAAAGCTTTCACCAATCACGTTGCTCGATTCGGCCGTCCGTGACCAAACCGCGCGACGCGGTTGGTCGAAACCGTACGGAAATTCGCGTGCGGCGGCCCTTAAGCTCCCCTTTCGAAAGGCATAACCGGAGAGTTGGGAGGATCGGTTGAATCGTTGCTAACTTTAACGAACGCTCGTTAAAGACGGATACGCGTCGAAATTGGCCCTCTGGACGCTATAATACCGCCCGGGCTCCACGCGCCGGATTTTACGGCCCGGAAAAGCCCCGAGTGCAGCGCTTAATTCACGTCTTCGTGGAAATCGGCCTTATCGCTTTGATAAACGCTCCGGCGTACCGCAAATTGGCAGTTCGGTGTCCGCGTCGTCCGACACCGAGCTCCGCGCGAGAGATCGATAGCCCCGTGCACGCGGCGCGGCTAATGTTTAATTACTTTTGCGTTACTAACGAGTAACGGCGTGTCGCACTTCTGGATTACGAATTGGCCCGACGACGCCGCGACGCGGCGCGTCGCGTCGCCGAGTTCGCTTTTATCTTCCCGGAAACGCCGCAATTCTGTCGCCTCGGGTTTTACGCGACGGCGACGATAGTTTCGTCGCGACGGAGTTCTCGGCCTGTAACGAATGTCTCGCGCTCCCGTTTCGCCGCTCTCGCGAAGGGGAGAGGAACGCCGGTTCTTCTCCCCTTTTCGGTCATTTTCGCGTTGCGCTTCTCGGTCATCGATCATTAAAAAAGAGCAAGGGACACGCACATGAATTTATGGGAAAACGCGTGCGCGCGCCCTCCCTCTCTCCCTCTCTCTCTCTTTCTCTTTTTGCAATTATTGTATTCTGTGAATCTCACGTACTTTCATTTTAATTTTGTTTCTTTCATACTGTATTATGCAAGTCCTTTTCCATTCTATTATACGTATACTAGTTATGATAAATTGTCATAATCCGTTACATTGTCATTGCGCTTTAGGGGACTTTGTAAGTCCTAGGGCGTTTAATAAATAACGATTCTCTCTCTCTCTCTCTCTCTCTCTCTCTCTCTCTCTCTCTCTCTCTCTCTCTCTCTCTCTCTCTCTCTCTCTCTCTCTCTCTCTCTCTCTCTCTCTCCTCC